TGCGTGGCTTCAAAAGAGAGTTAAACGATTACTTTAAGAGTAATCACCGTACAGAGAGAATCCCGCGAAAACGTCTTCACGTTACCGCAGGTGTAACTATAATTCCGGCTACGCCCACCGAGTTGTATTAATGAAGCGATATCGATCGACCCTTTCAGGATTTATATACTCGATCCCGCGGCTGTTAAATAACTTCTTCGAGGAGTGTTAAACGCGCGCGAGCTCGCTCAGCACGTATATTTTAGCTCGTGTAAGTGTGTATATGCGGGCCCCTCTCGCCGGGTAATAATCGACGATAAATCGGCGTATCGGTGCCGACGGTAATTAATTATTGCTTTGTGGTTATCGGCTCTCTTGCGGTGGAAACGACGAGTTGCGTGCGGATAATCCTCGCCGACCGGCGAATATCCTCCTCCATATTGAAAGGTTCGCGCAGCCCCGAGAGCTCGAAGCGCAACGTAAATACAGAGTCCGGCGACCGCAAGGGACTCTCCGCGGCATTTTACGGCCAAAGGCTGACCGACGAATGGAGATTACTGTTATTGCAAGTGGTAATTCGTACTTAATATTCCGCGATGCGCCGCGGCCGCCGAAGAGTTTACTATTGCGTAAACATTCACCCGATCTATCGGATCAAACTCTCTTTAACCTTTGCCAAAGCGGTCCATTTATCTCGACAAGTGAGGATCTTCCAGAAGTAACAACTCGTAAAAAGTATTATCAAGGATTTATTTATTGAAATAAAATTAATGTTATAATAATATAAAATAGAAATTTAATAATATATGTGATTTGTGTAAAAATATAAATATTTTTTCGTGTGGCGGAAAATTGTAGTGAATATTTCAGAATTTTGTTTCGAGGTTCCGATTATCAGTATGCTTATATTTGAGTTTCTGAAAAAGTTTGAATAAATTAAATATCTCTGGAATTAATGAAAAAAAAAAAAACATTAAACATTAAAAAATTGACTCCGAGTTCGGCAAGGAGTCTATAATTAAAGGTTCTGAGATACACTGTGTGCATCGGGAAGAGTTTAATCTCATACAGCCTTCTGCAGATCGTGCTTAAAAATTTAGAATTACACGTTACATTCTCTCAGGCGCAAATTGATGGCGTATCAACGGGTTAATAACCAGGGATCGGCGCTAAACGCTTTCTATTCGTATTGCGAGACTTAATAAATACGTTGACGTTCGTAAAGATAATCTCAATATATCTATCTTGGGTAATTTATCATGCGTGTTAACGTTGTAAAGATGCGATTTTCCTGTAGAGGCAAAAACGCGCTATGCAACTATGTAACGCGAATAATCACGCATTTATAATCGCGAGATAATTTACAGAATTTATATATTATTTATGCGACATTATTTTGTAATGCAAGAACTTGCACAGTAGGAAAAATTATACCTACTCTATAAAATATATTACATTTTTGCCTTACTGCGGCAGATGGATTAATCAATGCAAGTAAAGAATACAAAAAAAAAAAAAAAAAAAAAAAAAAAAAAAAAAAAAAATGGGTACACATTAAATTTTGGTAGCAAGGAAATTAAAAAAAAAAATAGAAAAATATAACAATTGGTATGCATCATAATTTATACACAGAATACGGTAATGATTTATACGATGTCGATTTGTATTAGAAGGAGATTATTTTGCGTAAAAAAAAAAAATTTGTATTAAATTAAACCATTGTAGCCATTTGATTTAAAAATTTTATTTTTTTTATACGAATCCCGATTAAAGATAATCCGAGGATCAAATAGAGTCACGTTTACCGCAAAATGTGTGTGGTGTAAATGCGGGATGAAATAACGGTCGAAGGACGTGAGGCTAATTTACATATCGAGTTGAACGATAATTCGTGACGCGTATTACCGGCAATTACTTCGGCGGCTGATCAATAATATCAGCAGAGTTTTCGAGGATCGTTTCTCTCGGCTTTTGCCGTGGTTTAGACATTATTAAATGCAAAATGACTAATTCCCTCGATTACGGCACAACGGTCATACACGCCGACGAGCGATGTAATGAGCGCGCGGTAGCGCCTGGAAAAAGGATAATTATCCACTTACGATGGGGCTTGCTTTAGTTTAGCGTTATTAGCGTGATGCCGGCCAAGAGCGGCGGTTCGTGAAATTATAACTTCCAGTAACTTAAGGTAAACCAAGAGATTTTATTTACCACCGCGTTACTTCCTCGTTTGTGTATCAGTAATCTTTTATCTTGAAAAAGATTAAAAGATTGCGATATATGATATTTTCTCTCTCTTTCTCTCTTTAGTATGTTTATATAGCAAAATTGCTGGGTATTAATCATGAGTTGGTTTTAGCACATTTTTATTTAATAAAAATAATTCTTGTTATAAATTTTGCGCGATCGTATGTTGGCACTTCGTGAGTTATAAAGATAATTTACGTTTACTTCGCACATCTTTGCTCCGTCTTTAATTTCTGATTGTTCTATATTATTTTAGCAACGTTGTAGTTGTGTTCTCTTTTACATGCTCTTTCCCGATAAGAGAAAAGAAAATGTGTACGTGCAGAGAATTATATATGCTGCGCTTAACTGCGGATTTTTGCGGAGAGAAAAGCGGGAAAATGGCGTGGCCATAATACTGACGCCGGATCCCGTCTTGAGCCGAATGGACAATTAATTCCTCGCGCGCGGCATCAACGCGCAAAATTGATAGCCAGCACCTGACATACCGGCCAAGTCGGTACTTCGTAACTGCCCATTACGAAGTTTATTACGGTTTCCCGGGGCACAACGGTGGCTCTTACTATGGAAACGCGCTCGCGCAGAGGCGCACGTGGTAAATACGTGTCCGCGAATTACGCCGAGAAGGGACCTGTTAAAATGGCAGATGCTGGTCTCTCCTGTTACCGTCAAAGTATAAATAAATCTCAGCCGCGTGAAGTCTCTTCTTATCGGAGAGATTCGAAAAATTGCGTTCGAATTGATCAAAAAACATATCTCAGAATATTTTTATCGACGCAACTTGTGTAAATCACGGGTTCGCGTAGTATTGTAAAAGATTTATTTTATTTTTTACTTGAACGAAATCAATTTCGTTTAATTTTAATTATTTCGATTTTATCTTTTTATCAGTAATTTTATCTTGACAATAATCGAAAGTCGTGTTAAAAGAAGTTTAACCATTTGTGTTTTCTCCGCTTGAAAAGTTATATCGTTGAGAACATCCTGTAGAAATTTGCGTGCATCTTGAAAAGAGAGCTCGACTTCCTGTGCCCGAGCGTCGTGGCGCAATAATTAATCACCGTCGATGGCAATACGTCTTTTTATCAGCCGATTACTTTTCCCTTGCGTCATTAAAATCGGAAACACAATCTGCGTAATATAATTGTAAGGCCGGCTTCTCTCGCGTGGAATTATTTATTCTTCGCGACGTTATTTATAATCGATTGCGTTGCTGAAGGAACTCGCTTATCGCGGCGACCGACGATATATTATCATCGATAACTGGATACCTATAAGCACCGCCAAATGGATTACGCTTAGATTTACGTCGATGTGATTGAACGGCGCAGAACTATACACAACGTCGTGTTACATCGGTGTGCGTGTAAGCGGAGACATTTGCGCCTATAAACGCAAGAGATTAGCGCGATCTACGCGAAATAAAATACTCAATAACGCGGTGTCTCCGAGTTAATTTGAGGCATTAATCAACATGTCATTTTAATCAACGTGAATTTCTCAGAACCTTCCACCTCCGTTGCTATATTTCTCAAGTACTTTTGACACATTCGTATCAATACAATCTCATTTCCGCACTACACAATAAAAACATGTACGATATCACCTTTAATAATTTAAAGGGGAAAAGAAATGATTTAAATTCTGAATTATAATTAAAGTAGATAAAACATTTATCGTGTATACCATTATTTTAATTCTATTTTTATCTACTAGAGACTTTATCACGACGCATAATTGAAGCAATTGGAAAACATTATATTGATGTATCGTTCATTCCTGTCCGCTATATTTTCAGCTTCTCACCATTCATTTAATTTCTGATTAAAATCTTAATCGGAGAGACACTCCCCTTCTTCATTATTTCACTAATAGAGTCATCGAACAAGCGGTAAATAATGGCGCGTCAGAAAAACGATTTTTTATTAAACGTCTATGCATACGTAAACGCCAACTTTTTTCGCAAGAAATTCTGCAAAAAGTCGCGAAACTTTGTACACAGAGCCGGTACAAGTAGGATGCGCGGCTCAATAAAAGCGTATGGGGAAAGATATTAATCGACGCCGAGGCCTGTCATACGTAATTTAGAATCGAGTTATCGCAATGCGCGGCTCCATCGGACAAAATTAATAATAATTTGCGGTAATGGAAGGCCTCCCATCGTAAATTACGAATCGACGAACGAGAGCCTCGTTTTTAATTTCGCTCGCCGCGCGAGCGGCGAAAGTGTGCGGCTCAAAAGGCGAATATCGTCGATCGCGAAACTGGGAACGGCGGACACGCTATAACTGTAATTGAACGTTGCTCTTAAATATTCATCAGGCGCGGTTCATTCACGATAACTCCCGTATGTCGTACGCTATTTTAGTAACTCCTACGGCTGTGTGCGGTGTGAACGGATGAAAACGAGCGTCAATGACATGGCAGTGATAAATGTTTGTTCTTAAGAGCTCGATTGCCTCCTCTCGAAATGGAGTTTTACTACGCTTCAGCGATCCTCGATTTTTATATCGGGTCGTACCGGAAGCGGTTTCCTTCTCGTTTCCGCTTGCGTATCCAAGACAGCGGCTCGCTGAATAAAAACCGCGACTGTAAGGTGGATTAAATACTGAGATTCATAAATACTGAGACAGACGAGTAATATTCTGAAGGATAATTTGATACTAATATGATAGACCTCTTATGTAAATTATATTTTTATATTTTTATTAAATTTTCTTTAATATATATCGTATATGTAATATATATTTATATTGTAAAAATATGAATTGCAGAAAGGGAAGCCAGCGGTTCTGGAGTCGTCCGCGGTGCTCCGTCGGTTCCGGAGACGATCAATGCGGAGGACGAGCCGGAAACGGACGATACCGGAAGCACGAGTGGGAAGGGCGCCTCGCCGGTCGTGAATCCGCTACTTCAGGAGCGCTCGAATTGCGAGGAACTGAAACATGTGGCCTGTCACCTGGAGACCAAGGATCTCTGGGACAAATTCAACGAGCTCGGCACGGAGATGATCATCACAAAGACCGGCAGGTAAGGTCGAAGTACTCCAAATTATCAACTTCCGTTGTTTGCGAAAATGATTGATGTCTGAATCATGCTGATTTATTTATCAGTATCACCGAAGATAACACCGCGGAGGCACTTCACGTGAACGTCGATAAATTTTAATCGCACGAGCGATGATCGCCAAGTGATAATTGGTTTCAAATTCGAGTTTTGTATTCATTAATTATTATAAACGTTGAATTATTTTTCAATATTGTATTCCTTCAATTTTTAAGACAACTCTTTGTTTTACAACTCTTAATTTTATATCACAGTATGATTTGATAATTTATATAACTTTAATCGCAATTTGCGATTACTTTGGCAAATATTGAAGTTGACGTAATGGTAACGTAAATAAATTTATTATAGCATACAGTAATATTTTCGACTTTGAAATGGAATAATTATTTTATTCTGAGACGATGCTAAGATCGAAAGAGACAAGTATCGCGAGACATGTTTCACGACGCGATTAATCGAAGGATCGCAGGCGGAAACAATTCCAGCCTCGTTTCCCTCGAGGGGATAAGCGGGATCCCCCAGGCAACCAGATGCCCCGGGGAAACTCCCTCGAGACGGTGTATCCCGCTAATGCATCGCAGGTTGGATTCCTCCTGGACAACGTCGAAGCGATTGACTCTTTCTCATTACTCGCGGCCGCTCACCCTTTCGGTTCTCGTCCCGAAACCGCCGTCTCTCCCGTGGCGACATCGCTGCAAACTCAATCACGTCCCGCCACGGGTCACGACACGACACCCACGAAAATTCCCGAGGGGAACCCGGCGATAGAAACGGGCTCGGCTTAGGGCGAGAGGTGTCGTTACCCTGAGCAAGCTGTCACTCGCCTGACACGTTATACCGAAACATAAGCAAGCGTTCTAATCGCATTGAAATTACGATCCTTTAATTGCGGGAATTGAGCAGGGAAACCGGAGAGAGGATAGTATTATATTCAACAGTCGTGAAATAGTCAAAAAATGAAAAATTTTTTTATACTGATCCTTACTGATCCATTTAATTTGCATGATGTAGAAAGTATAATACTAAAAATAAACACGAAAAATAAATCAAAATATAAAACATACTATCTAGAAAATTTCAGAGTATTTGTCATTGTTTTAGAAATAATTAAAATACTTTAAAAATTTAATATGAAATGGTTCATTATATGACTTTCAAAGATTATTATTTTTTATAATTTTTATTTATAAGAAACAATTTAGTTTTAAACAGACGGGGGAAAATATCGGTGAAATACTATTATACGAGATCGATGCAATTATTTATTCTGCGATGCAATTATCTATTCTAAATTGATATTATTTAACAAATGTTAATAAATAAAATCGTAATAAAAACCGTTATAGATGTACAACAGATCGCGGACAGAATCGGCGAGAGAGAAAGAGTAAAGATATTTGGATACAAAACTGATTGAGAAGTATAAAAATTCAGCGAGAAGGAATTGATTATGAAACGTAATCTTAACTATACACATACGCAATACGCGTTTCTATCCATAAAAAGAATTTTCTTTAGAATTTAGACAAGTTCAATTGCGAATAACAAGAAAGTAGCATAATGCAAGGCGCATTGTACAAATAAAAGGAGATGAGAATATACACAAATATACTGTCCAAAGTAATACAAAACTGTGAAAGAGTCGGGGCTACTTCAGGGATGGAAAGGGAGAGAGGATCGAGAAAGAAAGAGTGAGAGGGGGGGGGGGGGG